CCGGGATGGTCTCGATCTCTTGACCTCGTGATCCACCCGCCTCGGCCTCCCAAAGTGCTGGGATTACAGGCTTGAGCCACCGCGCCCGGCCTTCTTTTTTTTTTTTTTTTAAAAAAAAGATGGGGTTTCACCATGATGGCCAGGCTGGTCTTGAACTCCTCACCGCAGGTGATCCATCCACCTCAGCCTCCCAAAGTGCTAGGATTACAGGCGTGAGCCACCGCGCCCGGAAATTTTCTTTTTTCTTTAATTTTTCTACTTTTAGTAGAGTCGGGTTTCACCATGTTGGCCAGGCTGGTCTTGAACTCCTGACCTTAGGTGATCCACCCGCCTAAACCTCCCAAAGTGCTGAGATTACAGGCGTGAGCCACCGCGCCTAGCCTCCTTCTCATTTTTTAACAAATGGAATAAACAGCAATGTGCCAAGCATACAGCAATGCCCATTTTCCGGCCGCCAGAACGCCTCGCGCGCAGGCGCAGCTCGCGTTCAAGCGCTCTTCTGCTGGCGCGTGACAGCGGTGCGTTCCACCCAGCGCCCTACGCCATCTCCTCGCGCACGCGCGGCCGTACTCCACCCTCCTCCACTCCCGCGAGCACGTGCGCGTCCTCGCTGCTCACATTTCGGCGGTGGGCGCGCTCCCTGGAAAATTCCACCTCTGCGCTAGCTCCACCCTATGCGGCTTGTCTTCTACTCGACGCTCTTCAAGCTCAGCTCTCTTCCCGGCGACCTTTGCGGGAACAAGATGGCTGCCCCCATAGCTCAAGGGTTGTCGCGTGTATCCAGGGTTTTGGGTTGGTGGTCTCGGCAGGTGGGTAGGAACGGGGCTGATAGGACCCTAAGGGCTAGTGGAGGAGGACAAAGTCGAGGGAAATATTCTCTGTGAATTGTCCTTGGTGAGCTGGGACAATACGAGTGAGACCTAGGCCGGGGAAGAGGTTGAGGTCGACAGGACCCAGCTACGGAACTCAGTGGCTGAATGGGGAGAGCTTAGAGAGGACGGTGAGAACGAGTGAATTAATGGTGATTACGTTTTTCCGGTTTGGTTTGGGTCAGTCCGGCGAGGATATGTTGAAAGGGAGACAAGTAATGGCTTGGAAGGTGGACTCCCTAATCTTATAAATGAACTACATTGAAGAGTAATTGAAAATGCGGGAAGTTCCATATTGTCACTGCCTCTGTCTGAGCAAACCTAATGATCAGAGAGAAAAGGCCCCCTGGTCTTTCAAGAGTTTATTGGTCACTTGGGTACTAAAACGGCAGAATAAAGTTTACAGCAAGACTCGTAATAGAATGAGCAAAATATGAGGAGTAAATATGGAGCAGATGCCCACAAGAGGACTTTATGCCTTAAGAATAGGATTCAGGGCCGGGCGCAGTGGTTCACAGTTGTAATTTCAGCACTTTGGAAGTCTGAGGCGGAAGGATGGCTTGAGCCCAGAAGTTCGAAATGAGCCTGGGCAACATAGTAAGACCCGTCTTTACAAACAATTTAAAAATTAGCTGGGTGTGATGGCGCACTTCTATTGTCCCAGCTATTTGGGAGGCTGCTGTGGAAAGATGGAGCCCAGGAGGTCAAGTCTGTAGTGAGCCGTGATGGTGCCACCACACTCTGGGCTGGCGATCTGTCTCAAAAAATAGAAATGAAATAATGAAGAACAGTGTTCTGCTCATTTCAGTATTGGATTGATGTTTCCCTATCAGTTCTTTGAAACTTGCTTTAATCAACTCAGTATCTGTAGGAGTTAGCATAGTCCTGTACTGTAGAAAGTTCTAAAAATAAGCCTTTAGTAAATGTGATGTTAATAAAGTTTGCTGTCTTCTATTCGGAAACACCCATAAGTATTAAGGTCCTAATACATTTTTCCCTGTGATTATTGTTTTATAATTGTTCCTGAAGCATTCTTTGCATATGCCCTTTCTATGTTGCTTTGCTTAAAGTTTGTTCAAGAAAGCAGATCTTTATTCTAAGTTCCTAACCTTTCTCTCACCTTCCAGCCAGTTCTGGTGACTCAGTCCGCAGCTATAGTTCCAGTAAGAACTAAAAAACGTTTCACACCTCCTACTTACCCACCTAAATTCAAAACAGAAAAGGAGTTTTTGGAACATGCCCGGAAAGCAGGAGTGGTTATTCCTCCAGAAGATTTGGAGCGTCCTATACATCTGGCCTGTTCAGGTGAGATATTTCTGGGACCCTGACCCAGGATCCTTCTGTCAGAGAGCTTCTGGAACTTGGGATGACTTGGGCTGTGATTGATGTTATTTAATTAAGCACAAAGTCAGTTTGACCTCAATAATGATTAACCTTATATACACTATGTATCATGAAGTTGTTCTTTGAACTTACTTTCACACTGTCGCTGGAAGGCAAGAGTGAAATTTCCCCATTTTGTGGCAGTAGAAATGGAGGCTCAGAGAGAAGACTTAAATTGTTCTGTTTTTGTCTAGGGTAACATAGTTCTCTTGACATGGAAGTCTGTTTCATTAGTCTACTTTATATCCACAATCCTTCCCAATTTTATATGACTTTTTCTCAATCTTTCAACTGTTTCTTAATTTTTTTCTTCCCTCATTACAGCTGGTATCTTTGATGCCTATGTTCCTCCTGAGGGTGATGCTCGCATATCATTTCTTTCAAGGGAAGGACTGAAACAGAAAGCTGAACGAATGAAGAAGACTATGGCATCACAAATGGCGTAGGTGTCTGAGACAATCGGGAGTTGGTATTAGAATAACCATTCCTTGTTGCTACTTTATCCCAAAGAGAACTTTCTGGGTTAATTGGATTGGGTATCACTCTCTTAACCTGATAGTATTTTCTCCTTTGTAGTAGAGCCTTTATTTAATGCAGAATAATGTGGGTCTTCTGATTCTTAGCATCCCTGCCTTTATTGGTAATTTTTGTCACATCAGTTAGGGAGTTGACTTTTGAATGTGTAGGACCCTTTTTTTAATTTTATATTTAAAATAATAACATGAGACTATATTTATATAAGAAGTACCTTAGAATTTAAACTTCAGAGAGTGATAAAGGCCAAAAAGAGTCAAGAGGAAAGACCTGTTCTAGGGAGCTAACTGGGTCTTAGCTAAGGAGCTGAAACCTTAACCTTTTTCTTTTCTTTTTTTTTTTTTTTTCT